TGTGAGAGTCTCCTGCTCTGTGTACTTTCCACCCCGCCTGGACACGTTCCTGTGGGGCTGCCCTGGGTGACCCTGCTCTGGCAGGAGGTTGCACTGGGTGAGCTCTAGAGGTCCCTTCCAATCCCCAACATTCCGTGATTCTGCGTGACCTGAGGTGTTTCTGAGCATGTTAGCCACGTAACAACTTCTCTTTCTGCCCAGCCCCAAGCACCTGTCCCACCACCCCAGCCAGTCCTGCCCAGGCTACCAGCCCATGCAGCTCCTGGGCTGCAGGCTTCTCCAGAGCTATGGCTTGCCACCCTCACATGACACACCCAACGCATTCTCTGCAAAGCGAAGGGTGAAGAAAAAAACATTTTAAATTCCTAATGGCAGTGCCCAAAGGTACTATATCTGAAGATAACATCAACAGAGAGAGCCAGTGCAAGTTCTCTTCATGCAAACTATTTCCCAGAGGCTAATGGCAAGGGCGAGAGAGAGAGAGAAAAACAAGTACTGACAGTTTACTGTAGGAGCTCAAAGAAAAAGTGGACAAAGCTAAAAGAACTCCAGCTCTTTGTTCTCATTTAATCCAGTTCAGAGCATTCACTGGTGCATACAGATTTACTCTCTGTGGCTGCCGGAGCTGGATATGGTCATTTGGTAAGAAACAGAGGATCGAGGATTTAAATTTTGTGCCCTTCAGGCTCTTACGTTTTAGGAAAAGTCAGTCGGTAACATACATAAAGTTTTAATCCAGTGTAGAAAGTGTGAGCTGCTGAATAATACTGTCATAGAAACAAATCCTGATCTTGAAAAGTTGAAGAATGCTTTCTCTTTTTAACTCAGACCAAGTTTTTAAGGGTTAGAACACTTCTTTTGGCTTACAGACATCAAGGGAAAGACCAAGGCCTGCTGTCCCTACCCAAAGAATCCCCTATTTTATTTTTTTCCTTCTCTTTTCAACTCTCATCTCAAATTTATAAAGGCACTGATTTATCAGAGGCTACTGGAATAATGTAACAGTATTAAAATACCACCATCCACATATTTTAATGCAAAAGAAATAGTCCAAGCACCTGATATCACAGCACAGTAAAACGATCAAATCACCATTGCAGGCTTTGGCTTTTGCTGAGGATAGATGGTTCGGGTTACATGTAGCCTATTTTCTACGGGTTATAGATTCATCTCTGGCTGGATTTGCAAAACGCCACGTTGAAAGCCAGCACCAGCAAGGAGGATATATGTACGAGAACAGAACCAACAACAGGGTTTGTGAGTGAAATGTAGAGAGGCTGGGTTAGCAAAGGCAGAAATGGAAGGGGAAGTTCAGTTGCAGAGTGCAGCGGATCCCAATCAGGCAGATGGGCTGGAGCGACTCTAGCACAGTGTATAGGAAATGCAGCCCCAGCAAGGCTGTAAAGAAAAGGGAGGGGTTAGCCAGCAAATATTAGGAAGTGTTTTCTACCAAAAAAAAAAAAAAAGAAAGAAAAAAGAGAAGTACGATAACTGGCACAGCTTTAAAAGACAAAACTCTTTCTCATCCCTCTGCCTCCTCCAAGTGCTTTTGGTCATCTAAGAAGGACCTTTTATCTCAACTAGTACTGCTCAAACTTCGGTCAAAACCAGACCTTTTTATCCTAACCACTCATGCCCAAGCCTTGGCTGAGACCAGAAAAGCAGCAGCTCGTTGTGGTTGGCATCGTGTCGCCCAGAGCTGGAGACCGACACGTGACATGGGGCAGCCCGGTTGCTGAGCTGCTCCAGCCGCTTGCTCAGCTCTTCCCAGTGCAGCTACTCATTCTCTCAGAGATTGCCGGCCATAAATGGGCTGTTAAGGAAACAAACCAAAAGGCAATTTAGGCTATTTATTTGGGGGAAAAAAAGCCCTGTCTGGGTAGATGACACATGATGCCTTTTGTATTAATGTTCTGAGTCAATTTGGCGGGTCCTGATGGCAGGTGAGTTAGAAATGTTTTGTTACAAGTTTGAACACCGTACCAGGGTGTAAGGCTGGCCACCTGAACAAGAGCAGTGATTGAATTAGGGCTGAGAAATGTATTCCTGGCTAGTTTCAAATTAAAAAAAAAAAAAAAAAAAGAGAGAAAGCTTTTAAAAAGGTACAAATGAGGCTAAAAGAATTTATGTTATTTTTCCGGTTTCTGTGCTACGACTCCTTTTCCATCTCCTCATCTATCTTCTAAGTGTACTACCTTATGAATGAGTGAGCAATAAAAGAAGTATGCAGTGGCTGGGAGAGAAACTCAAGATAACAAGATAATGCAAAATGTAAGCCAAGGCTTGAGCAGAACTGCGAGTTAAGATGTAGATCTGAATATAAAAGTTTTTCACATCTTTTAGGGCAGTCATTAGAGAGTTTGCATGAAAAACTAATTTAAAAACAGTGGCACAAAATGTGACCTAATATACTCTAAGTTCACACCTGTCAAAATCTTCGACCTATACTTTCCAGGAGTTTTAATCCTGTCTTCAGACCACACATGCTGACACTTCACTCATAGACTCAAATAAAAATAAAGGTATTTTAATGCCTTTGAAATCCCTATCTTCATTGAAAAAGGGCAGGGGAAGAACAACGAGTACAAAAGCAGCTACAGGCTATCCTAAGATTAGGCAATAGTAATTAGCGTGCCTATGTGACACGGCAACATCCTCAAAACTAAAAAGTCTTTAAGTTACTTGTTTTAAGGCTACCAAGAACAGGACGGACCCATGTCCACCAGTACATACCATCTACTGGCTGCACAGTTTAAGATGTGCTCTTCCTCCTTGTCACCCCCACTTTAAGCTGAGATTTTAGACTCAAAGTCCCAGCACAGAAGACATGTCCGGTCCTTGAGCTAGACTTGGCTTCTTCAGTGCAGGCTGCCATGTGTCTGTGTCTGCAGGGTAAATTTTCCAAACGTCCAAAATGAAAGGGCTTAACAAAGGGTTAATTTGAGTTTCTGTACCACTGACCTCCCTCCAGCCTTCTAGGCTGCCCAGGTTTGGAGCTGCTCGGATCAGCTGGGGTTTCTCAGGGGAAAAATTACGTGGCCACTCCCTGAACCCAGATAATCCCTCTGGCTGGGCTTTCCACTGCTGGTATCTGCCAGGTTAGGCAGAATTTAATCATCAGCATTATTATGGTCTCTTTCAAGCAAAGACCAGTGGAAAATTAATTGCTGGAATTAGGTATGTATTCTAGCATTAACTCAACGTAGCTGCTAAGCAAGGTCAGTTATAGGGCTCAAGACAGACAGCAGGGGCTATGCTGGTCTCAGTTTTGTTTGGGAAAGACTGAGTTAGTAAATGAACAGCAGTAGGGAGAAGATACAAGGATAGTTTCATGGGATGTGAGGGTTGAAGGGAAGACGAAGCTTATGACCTTCAAAAGTAGTGACAACTCAGACATAAGCATGAGAGATCTGTACAAAGAGGAGAACACAAGGCAGGGTGCAGCAAGCCATGACGTTGAGGTGTTTGAGATGCTCTTACATATTAAGGAGGTAGAAATTTTTAAACAACAATTGATGACAGAACATGAAACCAATTCCTCATCTTTACTCTTACCCTTTGTGCCCTAAGACAGACCTAGTTTCCTTGCAGAGTAGCTGAGGCACTTTGTATGCTCCAGTATCAGAGTGAGAGGAGGCAAAATACTTCAAAATCTCCAGAAACTGCAAAGAACTTGGCCATGGTGTATTCAAATAGTAATTAGATTTCCAAATTGGAGCATTAAGTTGCAACATTTGGAATAGATGATGCCTAGATGAATAGTTGACCATCTGCTCTACACTGTTGATTGAGACAAACAGGAGGATAAGCACGGATAGAGTTTATCTGCTTGCTCCCATCTTGCACTTTCTTACTGCATATTGAGGTGCAAGAATTGAGAAGTTGCTTGTTTTTGATGTTCTGTTTACAAATACCAAGTACCTATTGTTGAGCTTTCAAAGCATTCTGTATATGCCATTTCAGGTAAAAGAGTGATTTTTCTGCCAGCTCCTAATTTCGCTGCCATGTGCCAAAAATTGCAATGACAGGCAAATTTGAAGCACTGCCCAACCATATTGCAAACGAAAGTGAAGAAAAGCTGTTGTTGAGGACCCTTTTTACCTTTGGCCTGCGAAATTAGGCAAAATTATCTTCCCTGCTTAACTCAAAGTGCAACGGGGAATCAACTTTGCAGGCAGATCTTGGTTGGCACGGATGAGCGTTTGCTCCAACAGCATCACCAGGCAAGCAAACCCCACAGCTTTGGTGGGAACATGACCTGTGCCTGGTGGTAAGATGCTGGAGAGCAAACCCATCCATGAGAGTCATTCAACAGGCATCAGCTAACCCTGTTTCTTTGGAGAGTTGTGTTAATGCACCATTCTTTGTTCTTCCAACTACAGATTCTGGAAGAAAACATGAAGTTAGAGTGCAAGTGCCACGGGGTCTCGGGATCCTGCACCACTAAGACGTGCTGGACAACTCTCCCTAAATTCCGGGAGCTGGGCTACATCCTTAAGGACAAATACAACGAAGCCGTTCAAGTCGAACCGGTGAGAGCGAGTCGCAACAAGCGCCCGACCTTCCTCAAAATCAAGAAGCCGCTTTCCTACCGCAAACCCATGGATACAGATTTAGTGTACATCGAGAAATCCCCCAACTACTGCGAGGAGGACCCCGTCACCGGCAGCGTGGGGACGCAGGGGAGGATGTGCAACAAGACTGCCCAGCAGTCCAACGGCTGCGACCTGATGTGCTGCGGTCGGGGTTACAACACGCACCAGTACTCGAGAGTGTGGCAGTGCAACTGCAAATTTCACTGGTGCTGTTACGTGAAATGCAACACGTGCAGTGAAAGAACAGAAGTATACACCTGTAAGTGAGGACGTGGCTGGGCGGGCCACGAGTACATTTGCACATATGCACTCATCGTACCTACATGAGACTGTAGGAAAGACCTGCTTCTCCCAGGAGAAATGCTGATGAATGGAGCCCCCTCTTTTCTGCTCACATTGCGTTGCTTACGCGGATACGTATTTCAGACTCATCTGAAAGTCAGTCAAGAAATAGAAGCAAACTACCCCTGCCCCGAGCCACCCGACATGTGAAAACGGAGAGAAAAAGATCATCTCGGTTGATCTGCACCTCTAAAGCGAGGAGCGTTGACTGCCTTGTGAAGAGACGTCATGCGGAGAAAAATCTCTGAGCGTGGCAACGAACTCTGGGTTTGGAAAGACAAGAACTTCAGTGTCTAAGGAGCAGGGAGGGGGTAGGGGAGAAATCCTCTGAGAAGGGCTTTGCACAGGATGGGATGGACAGTGCCCCGCCGTGAATTGCCCCTGTGAGCGCGTGGGTGACACAGATTTAGGCTTCTGCACCTGTGAAAAACTTCTGCTGGTCTTGCCCCTCTTTCCACTTTGTACCGTTCGCTGCAGCGAGTAGAACCGCTGAGGTTTTCTGTAGACGCCGCTTTATCTGCCTTTTTCGTGTGTGTGTGTGTGTGTGTGCGTGCGTGCTGCAGAATTTAGCACAGGGATTCGGGACACTTGGGCATAATAATAGCAATATTTAACAATTTATTCAGATAAAACTAATATTAATTTATTTAATTAAAAAGAACTCTACCGACATTTTGAGACCTATTCTGCAATTAAAGTAGATAGCTGGCTTTCTTTGTGGAATAGTTTTGTAGAAACGGCAAGGAAAAACTGGAGCTGTATATATTATTCTTAACTAGGATATTTCTATTAGTTGGACTTGCAGGATACGTTCTACAGTACTAGATGTTTAAGTACAAAAGCTGGCATCTTTATATATATATATGTACATACACAAACACACACTGTTTTTTGGGGGTTGTTTTTGTTTGTTTTCTCCTGTTTGCTGCTAGTTGTCTGGAACAAAAGTCAAGTGGTAGGGGTTACAAATCTTTACCAGTTGTTTTATTTTTTTTTTTTTTTCCTTCAATTAAAGAAAGAAGCATTAATAAAATCCTGTTTGGAATATGTCTAAAAAATAGGAAAAATCCAGACAAACTTCCATCTTTTGGAAAAAATCAACCATAGGATAAGAGAGTATATTTTGTAAGAGACTATTTTTATATAAATATTTTATTTATACTACGTCTGCTTGTTCAACCTGTACTTTTTCTCAAAACAGGCATACAATTTGTAATTCTTAGGCTATTTAACAGAGAAAGGGTAATTAGTTTGTGGACACAGCAGCAGCAAGCTGGATACATTCAGCTGCAGTTGGTGGCTGTGGCAGAAAGCAGAATGAACTTTCTCTCCGGATGTGTGTACAAACCGGCTCTTTTCCTGGGGCTCGATTTGCAGAATGTGCAAAACAAGAACAGGGTCTGTAGCATCAATTTTGTCACATGGCTTGAATTCCTGATTGGTATTAACTGGATGCTCATTTATCCCATTCAAGGGAAAAAAAAAGAAAAAAATTCCGAATTAGCTTCCCACATGCGTCAGTCATTAAACTGTGGCGTTATGACTGGCAAATGTGCTGTGTGTGCTGTCAGTTAAACCTCTATATTGTGTTACTGTCAAATTTGATTTTAATCAGTGGGAGACTGTAGACTATGACTGTAAAAACTAGCATGACACACATCGTCTGATTCTCATAGATACGATACAAAGCTTACTTTTTGTCCGACTCTTTTTGGCATTTACGTTATCCTTTCCCCCCAAAAGGCTGGCGCTCAAAACCCCAAAAAGATATCTAGGCGAATTTAAAGACTACTCGCTTGTTTATTCAGAGCCCAGCTAAGCTCTTTTGCCTTCCCTTTATGGTATTTCCTTTTCATTCCCGCTAATTTCCTCGGATATTTGAGTGACAAATATTTCTGTGTTTTTGGAATCGTCCTGTTCCTCCTGCTTGACTCGTTTGTGACCGATAAAAAGAAATAATCTAATTTTAATGTTGTTTTTTAATGGGTGACAATCAGGGCACAGCATTACCGATGGGATCGTACGTTCTGCCTAGGACAGACCAGATCCTTCGCTACTTCCAGAATCCAGGATCTCACACCTTTTGGGGAGCTAAGAGGGGCATCAGTAAAGGAAACAAGTCTTGTCTGAATGTGGCACGGGCTGTTTGTAAATCACTTTTTATATGTGCATAAATTATGTATGAACGCAAGCCCGTGCAGTACCTGATCCTAGCAATGTGTAATTAAGGTTAAATACCTAATTACACCTAAATGTACCTAGTTTCTTTGCAGACCTGCCACTTAAAACAGAATTTTTATGCAATTCGGACACCGTAGCACGGGATATCAAAACCAAAAAATCAACGTAACTTAGTCTCAAACTTATCACTTGTCAATATAAAGTGATATAAAAACATTTTTTTTGGGGGGGGGGGGCAAGTGAGTCACTGCTTTTAGTTCTTCTAAATTCCACTCATCAAGAATTGATAAGGTGTAAAATGCAATGAAGTACATACAATAGAGAGGTTAATTACAATGCTGCACCGTGGTTAATTAATTCAGATCAATGTTTGTTACTGGAATTCCCCACCCCCTTTTTATTGGCTTTTGACTTAGTGGGTACCGTATCAGAGTGAAAAATGTGTTTTCTTCACCAATTAATTTTACAAATTATTACTTTTGCAGCATGTTTTCTACCATAGAAAAATAATCTGTAAAATCTGTATATTTCAGTATGCAGTGATACGCAATGTACAGCTAACAGATTAATTACGGAAAAACAAATATCTTTAAACAGTCTTACTTGCGATAATAAAGAACTGGATGCACAACAAAATTAATTTGGTACTCACATTTTCCCTATATTTTACAATATGATCAGGGCATTAGTTAGAGAAAACATCAGTTTGTCTGATGACTGGAAAAACAGTTTGGGAACGACGAATTAAAGAGCAAGGAAAACCGAACGCTGCGTTCTACTGGAAAGTATCTGGAAATTCAGCTGTGTCATCTTAGATGGGAGAGATCTAGTCCCTCAGAATCTGCCATGAGTCTGGAGTTAATTGGTCCTTCACTAACCGGGCTCGAATGGCACGAAGAATAACCAGGAGAAGGCGAAAGATTTATGATTTTGTAGATATTCCTCCTCCCTGCCCTTCTCCCCGCCCTGGCCCCGACAACAGTTTGTTCTTTGTCCTCTGGGATAGAAGAGCTCTGTTTTTACTTGGTGAAGAACCACACAATGGGAGTGAAATGCACACAACTGCAGAACAATACAGCTCTCAAAAGAAAATACATCTTTTCATCTCGGCTAACTGAGGGAAGCTCTGGATTGCTGTCTGCATTAACAACCTCGCCGAGGCTTGTAAAGAAAACATACATTCGAGAAGCAGGAAGAGAAGGAGGAGTAGGAAGCGCCAGAGAACGAGCAGAATGGCAAGTTGGGAAGCTATTATTTAAGAAATCCCATCCTCGGTCGTTAGCAGAACCCCAATTCATGGAAATCAATCTGCCTTGGAATTCCTAAGGAAAGTTTAAGAATTTTACTTCTAGGCCTTTTTTAAAAAGACAGCTAACTGGAATACAATTAGCTTGAGCACTCAAAGTACCTGTATAAACCAGGAACCAGTCAATGATTAAGTTTTCTTTGCCGTGTATGCACAAAACTAACGGAGATGTGTCTTTCAACAGCAATCATTAAACTGAAAACATCCTTAAAACCTACTCTTAAGCGGCTCATTTGGTTAAGTTATCGTGAAAGTACATAGTTACTTAGAAAAGCAAAAAAACGGACATGTGTTACACGAGGCTCTTAATGAACTGTCCTGTGGACTACGGAACTGTTTTCAGCTGACCACATCTGAAAATCAATCCACTGAATACAGAAGCATTGCAGACTGCAGCCAGGGTGCCCGTATTCAAACTACGATTCAGCATCGGTATTTCTGACAACCTTTTTTTAAAAACATGTATCTTATAATAGATACCAGGAAATATGCCATGTGAACATCCAAAATGAGTGTATTAAATAACACAGCCCCCTGCCCCCAACTCGTAACCCCAAGAAGTTGACTGAATAAGAAACTCTCTGGTTCTGCTGTTGGTAGGACTGAAGTGCAGACTCGGTGCCTGACATGCCTGGAGAGGGCAGATACTGCTGCTGTCAACCAACAGCAGTGCAGGCTAGCTCAGGCTCAGATATTCCAAAACTGTCCAAATTTGAACCAAGTACAGGAATTTTATCACACAGCAGAACTTCAGAGGATAAAGCTCACCTAGATTCCAAAACGTTCTCCCTTAATTCGTGGGTATCTTGGATAGCTGTCACCATGACGAGTGTCCTAATTTGCTCACCCAATTCTGGTTCAAAATCATACCAGTTGTTCCTCAAAGCAATTCTTATCTTGAACAAAAACTAAGGGAATCCTTCCTCTGGAAACAAACAATTAATAGCATATGATTAAGTCAAAAGGATGAAGAGATATACTTGGATCTAAAGGACTCCAGGTGTTTGAAAAACGATACTAGGATTTTGTGATTCTCTTGTGCAGAGGTGATGCTGTAAAGCCCAAAAGGCTTCTTTTGATGCTTTGGAGTTTTATGGAATTACTGACTTTTCCATTTTGGTGTTGTTACATATTCATAGATTCCTCAATAGCACATATCACATCATTTATGTTGGGAGGTCAGAAACAAGTCCAAAAGAAATCTCACAATGTATGTACTACTGGTGCTCTCAGGTTCACGTAATTCCTTATCTTGATCTTGCATTTTTTTTAGCAAAGTTACTTCATCATGCTCTTGTTAGGAAAGATGCCTGCTTTGTAAAGAGGTTGGATATCTCTGGGAGAAGGTGAAATTATATGTGCCTTGGAGAAACGTTTCTGGGATTGTTTGTGCACACACAAAAGAAACCCCAAGAAAAAAAAACCCAACGAGGCAAAGAGGATGGCATCAAAATTGCGTCACTGATTATTAACGCATAGCCAAACTCTCTCAACACAGAAAACTTAACCCTAGTTTTTGTGTTTCCCGGCTCACATCCTTTCCCTAAAT